TGAACTTACTTGGCAATCACCATGACACACCCTACAAAACATCCTGTGTGTGGGACAAGGCCAGAGGGTTGGATGGGCAGGAGAAGCAGAACGAGGAGGAGGAGGAGGAGGAGGAAGCTGAAGAATGCATGTCGCGACCGTTGCTCTGCATTTAACGGCGCTCACTACAACAGCCTCTGCACTGGGCATGTGAGACGTGCATTTGCTTACTCCTTCCTCACCTCTCCTCCTCTCCCTCGTCCCCTTTGCCACCTTAATGCAAGTCATCCTCCCACCCTCAGCTCACCACATCCCTCACGCCCACTCCCACCCCCACTCCACATTGTCACTCCCTCCTAATGATGCACCAAAAATTTCTGGTTTGTAAGGCAGGAGATGCACTTCTGCACAACTCTGTCACCTCTTGCAACCCGTCTTTCCACAGCATCTCCACGACAGCATCACCACAACTGCTTCGCATTCCTGTCTCCACTGCTTCCACTGCTTGCACTGGTGTCACTGAGCACATTGATTCAACACTTCCTGGCATCGGGTGAGGTGCAACAGCCCCGATCGGGGAGTCAGGATGTAAGGAGACGAGGGGACTAACGATGGCCGAATTCAGTCAACATTTTGTCGTGTCAGGAGTTCATCACGCAGCACGTTACATTCCTCCTCCAAACGCTTAATTTTAGTGAGTAGCTACTTAACCGCCACTACAATAAGCGTCTATCAGACCAAATCCATGGCCAAGCGCACTTGCTATAAACAAATCACAATACCGTAGCGTTTTTCTACAAAGAAACAACACCTCCCTTCCATTTACCCTTATTTATGCTTCTGCACACGATTTTGACCTCAGTTCCACCATCACCTCCGACGTCCAACACAGTGGCGAAAGCTTGCTCGCATCAAAGTGGTAGAGAGGAAGCGAGTGCTGCACTGTTTGTGGGTCAAAATACCACCCCACTGTGTCGCAAACAGCTTGCATCATGTATAGTCACCATGGGCACACTCTTTGCCATGTCTGGCACGTATGGAAGAATGGCACATCTCGGCGCACTGTCTGTCTGCGTCTGTGTGTTGGCACATTGACGGTGGCCTTCATCCTCCCCCTCCCCGTCCCCAATTACTTACGCGATGCCGGTACGTCCACCACGGCACCAATAAATGTCACGCTCCACGATTATCGGAGTGCCGCTTACTAGCATTCTTCTCCGCAGACACAAAACAACCAGAGCAATCAACGTGTCTCGTTGTGGACAGGTTGCATGACTACCACCACCACCACCACCACCGGCACTAGCACTTCTTCAGTCGGCATTGTAAGACCACCAAAAGCAGAATAATTTGTTTACGTAGAGTGGAATGTGGAAGGGAGGGTTGATGGCCTGAGGAAGTGTCTCGCCCTCCTTCCCACGTTGTGCAAACACGTTGTTTTACACCACTGGCTTAGGAAGAAAA